TCCACCCTTAGTTTTCAAGCATGAGTCTATTAGTTTTCCAGTGGATATGGGCTGAAAATACCACTGAAAGTACTTGATAAATACAAGTTGTTGCGATAATCACAGACAGCACCTTGTACTGTACTTCCTTAGACAGCATCTCCAAACCCACATCTAGAAGGAAGCGGGCAGCAGATACATAGGAACACCACCACTGCAAGTTCCCCTCTAAGCCCCTCACAATCATGACTTGGAAATATATTGTCATTCCTTCAGTGTCGTTGGCTCAAAATCCTGGAATTTCCTCCATAACAGCATTGAGTACACTTATACCAAACAGACTGCAGTGGTTCTAGAAGGCAGCTCCCCACCACTTTCTCAAAAACGCAACCAGAGATGGGCAATGACTCACAAATTTGTATCTCAGAGTGTAAAAATCAGTGCATTTATTCAGTTAGACTCTGCATCTGCACTGTCACTAACCTTGTGTATCGTAAATAAAAGCATTGGACTCTCCAATTGCATCAATGTTATAAGGCACAAGCCTGCCTTATGCCATCCAATATGGTCAAATTGTCCCATAGTGGTTTACATTAGCCAAACCAATACCAACTTCCAGAGTCTGGGCACTTATGTCTTTTCCACACTTTACATTGGCACTTAACAAAAATATGTTTTTACTGCCAAGCAGCTGAGTTTGATACAGTAGTAAAAATAATTTCAACGATCCCAGTGCAACAACTTGGACTCATGTCACATCTATCATGTGATAAGTCATTCCAAGGCACTTTACAACAATGTTTTCAAACCCAACTTGGCACTCAGCCACACATGGAAATATTAGGAACATGTCCCTCTATGCGAAGTTCTAAAGGGCATGTAATTTAAAAAAAGGGGAGGAGAGAGATATAACGAGACAGAGAGGTTGAGGATACAGCTGTCAATGGTAAAGTGATGAAAACGAGGGAGATTCGAGAGTCTGGAGTGGGGTAAGTGCAAGAGACTGACTCTTTGCTGCATTGTTGTTAGTGAATCCTAGCAGCACACCCTCCCTTTGGCTCCTGTTGAACAATGCTCCAGTAACCAGCAAATTTCATTAGATCACTGCGCTTGTCACAATAAGCTTTCCCCTGTTGAAATATATTTAGTAGTAATAGACTGACAGCCACTTGCACTGGTTGATAAATGTGCCCCATTGGGCATGATGCCTATTATACCTGGTTACTCTATATTTACCAAAACCAGCAGCATCAACAGCTCAGGAGAGAGAAGGCATAACCATGGCATTAACTCAGAACTAAGAGTTAGCCAATGAAAAGGTCAAAGTGCAAACGTGCCTCAGTTCCCATTTTATTTTTCATGAAACAGAACCTGTGGCTAGATTCTTGCAGAACAGAGAATTCTACGTCACAGAAGGGCAGACCAACATTTTGAGAGGATACAAAAGGGGAAGACGATTTCTGGATAAACCCTACTTTTCAGACTTAGATCTCTGCTTAGGGATAACTCAAGGAAAAATAAAATGCAGACATGGCTGCGTTCCATGTTTGATGCAATCATGACAAATAAAATCTGGGCGTACTGGTCTCAGTCAGAGAAGAGTGTGACTACAGGGTCGGTGGAATAATTATCAAAGTCAAAACTTTTGAAACGGTATGATGTCCTATCAATAGTAGATTTACTTTCTCCTTCATAATTTTCAAAGACTTCTGTTGTTTTTCTTAATACAACTCGAGCATTTGTTATTGACAAGCTAGTTTTATTTTTGCAAATGCCTTCCCAGAGAAAATGTCATCCAAAATTGTGTTTGAGTTGGCCAGAGTAAAGGAAAGGTATGATTAAATTGATGCACAGAAACAACCATGCCCAGAATACTCCCAATTTAATAACATTCCCCAAAACAGATCCGTGAATAACTTTTGCTCAGCTTCAGATCAGTTCCTATAACATCGCAAGAAGGTTACTAGGGCTAACCTCAGACAGGTAAAGTGCTTGGCAAAGAAAAATAAAGTCATAGATTTAGACAAAATGTTACAGCACAGAAAGAGTCCATTGTGGCTACACCAGTTCTCCAAATGAGCTTCATGACTTGGAGCCATTCTCAAAAAATTGTTTATCTGTTATACCTTTCCACACCACCCAAAGATACAACCAAATCAAGTACTTTTGAAACGTAGTCACTGGTGTAATTCATGAAGCCAATTTGCATACAGAAACTTCCCCACAAATAGCAAAGGGATAGTGACCAATAATTGTTTTTTGTGATGTTGATTGAAGAATAAATATTGGTCAAGACATCAGGAATAACTTCCCAGTTGTCATTGGAAATAGCATAATGGGATCTTTCACATCATCCAGCACTCCTTCAGTACTGTTCTGGAGGGTCAGCCTAGACCCTTACCCTAGAGTCTCTGAGTGGAGACTGAACCTATCACCCTCTGACTCAGACACAGATGTTAGAACATCTTGGAATTTGCAAAAAGGGAAAAAAGAGAACGAAGGAGATGGTGGTTTCTGTAACCAATTGTCACCCACAACATTAGGGCCATTGATAGGTGTCAAGTTGATACGTTTACAAAGGCTCCACCTACCCTCTCAGGAAGATGTAGAAAGGATGGCAACAGCACTACTTGGAAGGAGAGTAAGGCCCATTGATCCTTCTACCAAAATAAATAATCTAGTCCCCAATTTTACTGTTGTTAGCGGGAGCTTGCGATATTGCATTTCTTAAAGTACGATCATTTTGAACTGTACCCACTGTGTTTTATTGGCTGTGAAGCAACTGGGGGCATCCTGAGGCCAGGAAAGGAGGTGTATAAATGAGAGAGCTCTTTCTTATTACTCTAACACCTATTATTAATCCATCCATCTACAGCAAGGCAGTTGCAACAGGATTGACAGGGACAGAGTAAGAGGCCCAGAAAAAGGTTACCCAGAAACACTGGGCCCTTTTGTGAGAGAACTGGAGAGTAACCTGTGTCTGATCAGCTGTGGTACACCTCTGATCACTGGAGTCTGAAACTCTCTAATAAGCATTTGGAGCAGCTAGGCAGGCATTTCCAGCTCCCTGCACTCCAAAAAGGGAAAGAATTTGGAAAGACAAAACTGTCAACTTAGCAGGCACACTCACTCAAAACTTGGAAAGCTTTATTTAGAAAAGCACACGTCACTCACAACAGTATCGGAGACACGAGCTGCCAATATTCTAAGGGCAGGGGAAAAGGGAGCCTGAAAGATTTTCCTCTTGCGTGATTTTTTCCACAGCTTCAAGCTAATGTTAGTTCCTTTTGCAATGATGGACGTGTTCAATTCAAACGTGGAACGCAGAATTTTGGTACTGGCCACCAATATTGCCTAGCCAGTGAGATCTTCATGGTAAAAATGAACAGTAAGCATATTTGAAATGACCTATTGTACGTGGAAGAAACTTATTTCACCAAGAAACACCATAAGGCACCTTTACAAAGATCTTTTTCTTAAAAGAGTAAAATACTATAGCATCAGTGTGCAACAGATCTGGCTCAGGATAGTTGATACAGCACATTCAGGGTTCAAGATAGGACCTTGCTGGCTCATTATGTGAACAACAACTGAGCTTTCCTGATGTTACAACAGGGATCACACTTCAAAGAGTCTGTAAGGTGATGACCCAAGGTCGTAAAAGGACTTATAGAAATGCAAGTTCTTTGGGTTGCTTAGCAACTGATTTGGACATGAAATGGTGCAGACTACTTTAGTTTTTTTTAAAAAGAAAACAGGATAAATTTCCTTGCTGTAACAGAGTTTTGAATAGTTTGAAAAATGTAATTAAAAGTTTGGTTTTCAATCTTCCGCCTCCTCTCCCAAGCCTTGGAGGTGGACACAATAAAAAGAAAAAACGAGCTCTCTCGTATTCATGTTGCTTGCACCATCAGATGCCATTCTATTGAGCAGTATTGTACCACCAAGTGGCATAGTTTGGTAGAAATGTCAAATTCACACTGGGCTTAGGTGAGGCTTCTGTTCCAAAAGTGATGCACAAACATACCAATGGGGTCACAAAGAAGGCATCAGCTAAACACAAACTTGCAAGCCTCTCTCTATGCCAAGGCAAGATACACTTGTACAGCTAACAGTACTCCACTAACAGCTATGGTGAAATACCCATTCCAGCATGTTTGCCTACTTACTGTGGATTCTGCCTGGGCTCACTAACTTCCAGGACTGTCCTGGAGTCTCCAGGAATTCAAGATTAATCTCCCAGAGAACATTGCAAGCTGTTCCGGATATTAAGCAATATTATGTTGCTTAACCCCTCTCTCCATGCCACATTTGCTTTATGAGTTAAGAAAGCATTGGAGAGGAGGAGGTGAAGTGAAATGGTTGGTGAGAATGGCAATTACAGGTCAAGTGATAAATCATCTGCTATTACATCCAAAGCTCGCGACTCAAGTACATTCACGCCAAATTCTGTCACCGCTCTCCAACTGGGAGATGTTTGTTCAATCAACTCTTCAAAACGTATGAAGCAGGAATCAGAGTGGATCATTCAGTCAAATGAGCCCGCTCTGCCATTCAACATGGAGATCATGGATGATCCAATTTTGCCTCATCTCTACTTTCCTGACCATTTTCCACTAACCTCCTCACTCCCTCTCATTCCAAAACACCAAGAAACGACAGATATTAAAAAAGATCCAAGAAAGAGCTTGTCACAGGAGTTGGTGTTTGCGCGGCCAAAGGACAACAAGAAACCGCCCCTTTGGGAACATTACGGCTAAACTCAATTCTGGCAACTGCATACCGTAGCGAGATTCCAAAAAAGACATTGTGAGGGTATTCAGTAGGAAAGACAGAACAAGAAGTTGAGGATGTAAAGTGTACTACTCACTAGCCAGAAGAGAGCTGCCAATGCTTTAAATCCCGGCAACCTTTCATCATGTAGGTCAAGTTGCTTCTACAGAAGATGCTTGTAGTAGCAGTTTTAATTAACACATGACATCAGCAGAGTTAGGGCATAGAGGTAAAGACACCATACTTACCCTGGAGATGGTCAGGGGCATGTTGAAGTCTTTTCCCCCCTGAAGTCTGAAGCCCCATGGGGCTGGGCCTTGCAAACAGACAATGTAGTGACTCATGATCTGGCTTTCTCACACACCAGGGTCTATATCAGCCAACTGCAGAGAGGAAAGAAAGGAAAACAAAAATTAGTACAACTGGATGTGGATTTATAATTGAATAAATTTGTATTGTTTCCCACAATCACACAATAGGATAGTTCTAATAAAAATTGAGAGAGACACATATAAGCAGTTAAACTTTTTTTTAAAAGCAAGAACACTTGCATTATTAAGGATTTCACATTGCAGAAAAGCCATTTAGCCTCAGAGCTCCATCTAAATCTTCATGCCCCACACAATTTTCCTCACACCTCCTCTTGATCTCATCCCACCAGGACATCATTCTATTCCTTTCCCCCTCATTTACCTATTGAGGTTTTCTCCAAATGCATCTGCACATCCATCCACGTCGACCACCTCCCTTTATAAAGAATTCCACATTATCATCGCTCTTTCAGAAAGGAGGTTTCTTCTGAATTCCTTATTGGAGTTTAGTGGTTCTGATGTGTTTACGACCCCCAGCTCTGGCATCGCCCACATCATCAACCCCATCAAACCCTTTCATAAAATCTTAAAAGGCAACGTTCTCCAGTCACTCTGTCAAGTCTTCTCTTTGCCAGAGAAAAGAGCTCCAGGCAGTTCAATCTTTCCTGATAGGTCTGGCAATTTAGATTAATTTACTAATTTAAAATAACAAGCTCAATTTTCCACTCAAATGTCCGAACATTCCTTGCATTAAATAAGCCCCAATTACTGGAACTTCAACCGTTCAAAAAGGAAAAGGCATGATATGCAGAAACACACACATACAAAGTCAAATAAATACACGAGGCACATGTTAAACCTGAGCACGACAGCGATCTGTCCACCAAATTGAAATACAATGGTTCTCGTGCTCACTGCAGGCAGATGATGATGTGAGCAACAGTGTTAATTATACATATATTGTCAAATACTATCGCAAGCCTTTTTGCGACTGCTGTTAAAGATGATTATATGAAAGAGATAGAAATTGGGACCACATGCAGAGAAACATCATGCAACTGATAACAGAGACAAAATCATCTGACAAAAACTATTGCCAAAATTTACTTCCCGACCTCTTCTTTCCAGTCAATTAAATCCTAAAACAAAAAAACCATGCCAAGCCCGACTTCAATTCTTTGCATGAAACAGGAGTTTTACCTTGCTGAGAGCTAGAGTCTATTGGTCTCAAGAGCAGACAACACAGTGTACTTCCCCGCTATCTAGCTGCAAAGAATAAAACAGCACAAATTTTGGCAGCGAGCATCTGCTATATATAAAGGAAGCTGCTGTAAGATTACACCAAAGTATTTCAGGGTTTCACCATGACGCAAGGTGACCAATTTAAAAGGTTCCATTTTATTTGAGAACTAACTGCTACTGAACAGTAGGTACATCCGAAACATTGCTGCGAGAATACTGGCTCTAACATGACACCTCAACAGGAGAATACAATAGACAAGGCTCAACATCATATTGTGATCTGGAGAGTAAGCACTTGTAACACTTACACTCATTGTCAAAACCCCGGTCCCAACCACCTTACAACACAATAAATGTAATTTTAGAACGCATCTGTTTGGCACAACCAACAGGGGATATCAATGGAGGTTACTGATAGCCGCCTGGCTGTTAAATCTATGATGAGCAAGCCTCATATGTCTTTGTAAAGAAAAAGTGAACACTATTGTCAAGTTCTTTTACGAATTCATTTGGCCTGGTTTCTTTATTTTTATTTTGGAAACAGTGATATCACTGAATCAGACATCAATGCGAACTGCTAAAGATTCCTGTTGTGTTATGGCATAGATTACAAATTCAGTAAAGGTCTGTACCTTTACAACAGTTACATACCGTCACAATACGAGACATTCTGATATGAACGTACCCAAAGGAACATAGGTACAGGGGTGGGCCATTCAGCCCATCAAGTCTTTTCCACCATTCAATGAGATCATGGCTGATCTGTGCCGTAACTCCATATCCCTTAATACTACAGCTAAACAAAATTTTTAAATTGGAGGTAGATAAATTAATAACTGATACAGCAACCACTGGCATTTGTGGAAGAAAGTTTCAAACCTCAACAACCCTTTGTGTGTAGAAGTGCTTCCTAACATCTTTCCTGAATGGTCTGGCCCTAATTGTCAGACTATGATCCCTATTTCTAGAATCCCCAACTAGTAGAAATAGTTTACCTTTACCTACCCTGTCTTTTCGTGTTAATTCTTGAAGACTTTGAACAGGTCACCCCATAACCCTCTGAACTCTAGAGAAAATATGCCTAATATTTGTATATTCTCTCCTCATAACTTAACACCTGAAGTCCACGTATCATTCTTGTAAATCTATGTTGTACTCCCTCCAAGGCCAATCTATTCTTCCTGAGGTGTGGTGCCCAGATCTGCTCACAGGACTCCAAGTGGGGTCTAAGAAGGAGCATAACTCCTGCATCCTTGTACTCCAGTCCTCTAGATGTAAAGGCTGGCATTCCATTAGCTTTCTTGATTATTTTCTGCATCTGTTCGTTACAGCCTAAAAATCTACGCACCTGAACTGCTCAAGTCTTTTTGGACACCCATTGTATTTAACTTTATACCATCTAGAAAGTACCCTTATCTTTCCTTTCTTGAACTCCATCTGTCACAGTTTTAACCATTCACCGAGTCTATCAATAGCTCTTTGGAATTTTATGCTCTCATCTGCACTGTCTACAATGCCACTTAACTTTGTGCCATCAATCTCAGCTAGAGTCAACCTCTGTCAAACAGAGCCAGTATAGTCAAATCAGTTGTGGTTAATGTACAGTAACATCAGTAAGGATAAAACCCAGACTGTCTAAGTCTGTAATATTATACTATTTGCATGACTATGTGTTACACAAGCTAATATTTGCACAAAACCACAAACAGCACTAATTCCTATATCTATAATTGACATGGCTCAGTCAGTAACCCCTCTGATACAGAAGGGACAAGTGCTGCTTCAGGCTAACACTGCATTGGTGCAGTACCAAGAGAATTCTGCACTATCGGAGATGCTATTTTTCAGGTGGCATCATGCAACCAAAGCATTCACCACACATTCAGGGACCATAAGAAGTTACACCTCTGTCCAAAACTGCTCTGTGGCAGGGTGCAGGGGAGAATCCCCTTTTACCCTCCAGTGGGTATCACCCTCAGCATTACCAAAACAAGTCACCTTCTCATTAATTTCATTGCTGAGAATGCGATACTTTGGGAACAGACTGCTTTGTTCTCAGACTATAGGGACTGCTCCTTCACTAGTGAGAGACAACTTGTGGTGGCTTAACCACAGGGCCACCATACCTCAGGCGAGGGGAGAGGTTGGGAAGGGCAGTCTTTCATGATAACCTCAGCTGGTGATGGGAATTGAGCCCGTGCTGTTGGCATCACACTGTTTCAGAAACCAGCCATCCAGCCAACTGAGCTTAACCGGGTATATAGCAGCCAATTTGCACACGACGAGCAACATTTGCTAACTAATCCTGAGGGTGCTAAGAATTATACTGCCAATCAGTTTAGGATCATTAGTCAGGCTCACTGTGTGGCGCTCTGCAAATGTAAATATATAGGGCCCTGATCTTTGCAGGCAGAAGGAACATGCATGCAAATTGTGCCTGTTTCAACTCACAAAACAAGAGACAGCCATTCACTGGTTCATTCCTTAGGGCATTGCTTTGACCAGAGACAAATGCCTGGTTTAAATTTAAACAAAGCTTTTTGTAATTAATTGCCAGCCACAATCTAACTTGAAGGGTTGAAGAGTTGTGGAGAGTGGGCAGGAAAGTGGAGTTGAGGCCAAGATGAGCTGAGATCAGCCATGATCATATCAAATGGTGAAGCAGGCTCGAGGGGCTGAATGGCCTATCCCTGCTCCTAGTTCTTATGTTCTTACATGACTGATGCTATTTACATGGCAATGCCTCTACCAGAGTCCAAACAATCAGCATTCCCTTTTCTTATGATATAAAATATTGTTTCCTTTTACGCAGACATTCTTGCAACATGTCCAGATGAATACAAGTCAAAAAAACTTCAACAAAATATATTTTTTCTCAGCAAAAAAAAAGTAACGTCATGATAACCAGTTCATCTGTTTTATTAGAATCATATAATCCCTACAGCACGGAAGCAGGCTATTCAGCCCATTGAGTCCATACTGACCCTGCAAAGAATATCCCAGACCTACCTCACTATCCTATCCTTGTAACCCTGCATTTCCCATGGCTAGCCCACCTAACCTGCACATCTTTGGACTAGTGGGATGAAACATGCACAGACACGGGTTGGGGGGTGCGGCTGATGTGCAAACTCTACACAGACGGTCACCCAAAGGTGGAATCGAACCCGGGGCCCTGGAGTTGTAAGGCAGCAGTCCTTACTACTGAGCTACCATGCCATCCCATTAGTGGCTGAGATTAAATATTAACTAAGATATCATAAAGAAATCTCTTTCCTACTTCAGACCAAGCACCATGGGCTCTTTCACCTCTGCTTACATACAGGTGGGGTCTCAACTTCGCATCTCTTCGGAAAGTTATGCATCCCAATTCACAACCATAGATTCTCCATAAAGTATGTTTCCTTGGGAGGAAATGTCTTGAAAACCCTCTTGGACACTATGTTATGAGACTGAAGAATATTATTCACACTACAAACTGGTGCTGATTTCTACACTGTACAAGAGCAAAGCTTTCAAATCATGGAGTAAGCGATGCAAAGGAACCATCAATCTAGGTAAGATTTGAAGCACAGAAACAGGCCATTCAGACCAACTAGTCCATGCTGATGCTTATCATCCATAACAGCCTCCTCCCTCTGCATTTCACCTCATAGCGTCAGTATCTACTCTGATTCTTTTCTCCGTTAGAGTTTATCTAGCTTCCCTTCAGAAATACCTACAATACGCATTTTAACAATTCCATATTGTATTAACCTTCCCATTCTAACTACTCACCGTGTAAAGGATTTCCCCCTGTATTCCTCACTGGATTTATCAATGACAATCTT